GAGAGAGAGAGAGAGAGAGAGAGAGAGAGAGGGTGAAGATGCTGGTGGTGGGGTAACGGACATTACATTTGGACTGGACTGAATGAACTGAACAAGATGTGGGGGGGAGGGGAGATGGTAAAAGTTTAGGCAGGAGGAGTGGCCGGCTGCAGCGTAGACCCCAAACTCAAATCCTGGGACAGAGGTGCCCTCCGCCCCGCTGTGACGCCACCCAGCCTCCCATTARCACAGTCGCACAAAACAGAGGACGACCAGGCCGAGTGCCAGGCGCCTCTGTGAGAGTTCGCTTCATACCGACCCATTTCACTCGCCAGCACAATTTCAATTTGAGGGGCAGCTTTCCTACGTGGAACCTCCTGTAATGAATGCAACATCCTTTTCTGCTCACGACAGACACATCTGGGGCGTTTATGGGGGGTGGTTGGCTCATTCAGATGCAGTCAAATGAGAAGAGGAAGTTTGGTCAACACATGGAAATGAGCTGCAGGTGAGGCTGAGGTCAAAGGCAAGCTGTGGTCTGAGGGAGAAAATCAAGGCGTGGAAGAGAACAGGTGTTTTCAATTTTAGCTGCRTGTCTGGTTTGTTTCACTCCAAAGTATTTGTATTTTCAATTAGCATAAAGAAAGAAACCAAATAAACCCCTTGTTTCATTTTTTCATACATTTGCAGTCAAATGGCGCCCTCTAGTGTTTATTTTGAAACTCTATACAGGCTTAGTTACCACATGTTTTAGTTTGATTTATATTTTATAAAGTAAAATAGAAAACTGTTAAAGATAAATTGAATAAATCGTGTCATTGTTATTGTTATGTTTATTCTATAAAAGTATTGTGAATGATTTGTCTGGCTTGTCTCCCACACAACGAACTGATCCACATCAGGAGACCAGGGTAAGCTGGAGTTTTGAGAAAACCTGTAAATCTCAAGCACACACACATATACACACGCAAACATACCAYACAATCCTAGCATTACTGTTTTTAAAAGCTTTATCAAAAGCGGTTTCCTTACCTCTTTAAGATACTTTGCTTCTTTCCGGAAGAAAGACCACCGTCAACCCGGCTAGCATCGCTGCTAGCATTAGCCTCATGTCCTGCGTCGATAAATTAGTTGAAATTACAATATAATATAATTATACTGTGATATATTCAAACTAGAGAAGTAGGGTTATTCTGAAAATACAGTRCAATAGTGAAATATATGTGCATATAGAATCACCTGCTGCGAACTTTTARGTTTTTCTTACCGCTACAGTCCAGATTCACAAATTTAATGATGCGTTCAAGGCCGGTAAAAAGCTGGGACGTCTGCGTTTTCCTCTGATTTACTAGGAAACAAACTTGCTTATGACTGGGTACAGTAGTAGRATAAATGGTGAATGGACTGTACTTGTATTATAGCACCTTATTCAACCAGGACACTCAAAGCGCTTCACACTACAGTSTGTGTCCTCATTTATCCATTCACACAGCACTATAAGGTCTCTACAAAGTTAACATGTACAAATCAGCTCTGGAGACAAATCATTGCCAACTAGAGAAATTGCATTTCCTACGAAAATGCAAGCGTGAATGCCTCATGCGCAGAACTCTAGCTGAATTAGCAGAAGAATAGCAGAAAGTAGCAGAACTATAGCTGAAATAGCAGAAGAATAGCAGAAAGTAGCAGAACTATAGCTGAAATAGCAGAAGAATAGCAGAAAGTAGCAGAACTATAGCTGAAATAGCAGAAAACAGCTAAAATTTAGCTGAATTTGTAGGAAATAGCTGAATATAGCAGAAAGCAACTGTAAGAAGCATAAAAAGCACAAATTAGCAGAAAAAAAGCAGAAAAATTGCAAAAAGTAGCAGAACTGTAGCTGAAATAGCATAAAAAGCTAAAAGCTAAAATAGCTGAGTATAGCAGAAAGCAACAGTAAGAAGCATAAATAGCACAAAGTAGCAGAAAAAAGTAAAAAAAAAAAGTAGAAAAAGCATATGAATAGCATAAATAAGCAGAACTATAGCTGAAATAGCAGAAAACAGCTAAAATTTAGCTGAATTTGTAGGAAATAGCTGAATATAGCAGAAAGCAACTGTAAGAAGCATAAATAGCACAAAGTAGCAGAAAAAAGTAAAAAAAAAAAGTAGAAAAAGCATAAGAATAGCATAAATAAGCAGAACTATAGCGGAAATAGCAGAAAACAGCTAAAATTTAGCTGAATTTGTAGGAAATAGCTGAGTATAGCAGAAAGCAACTGTAAGAAGCATAAATAGCTAAAATTAACAGAAAAAAAGTATAACAAAGTAGAAAATAGCAGAAGAATAGCAGAAAGTAGCAGAACTTTAGCTGAAATAGCAGAAACAGCTAAAATGTAGCTAAAATTGTAGAAAATAGCTGAATTTAGCAGAAAGCAACTGTAAGAAGCATAAAAAGTACAAAATAGCAGAAAAAAGCAGAAATATAGCAGAGAAAAGCAGAAGTATAGCAGAAAGTAGCAGAACTCTAGCTGAATTAGCAGAAAACAGCTAAAGTTAGCAAAAAAGTAGCTAAAATTAGCATAAGAAATTTAAAGGAAGCATAACCAAAGCAAAATATGTGAAAAGCTGTGAAGATTTATGAAGAATTTCAGAGGTTTAAAGCAGTTGAAACATAGTCCCATTCAAAGTCAATGGCAAAAAAATAGCTAAAAAAGTGAAATAGCTAAAAAAAAAAATAAAGTATAAATAGCTGAAATCCCTGGAGATATAGCAGGCATGGCATTAATAATTTAAAGGAAGCATAACCAAAGCAAAATATGTGAAAAGCTGTGAAGAATTATGAAGAATTTCAGATGTTTAAAGCAGTTGAAACATAGTCCCATTCAAAGTCAATGGCAAAAAAATAGCTAAAAAAGTGAAATAGCTAAAAAAAAAAAAAAGGTATAAATAGCTGAAATACCCGGAGATATAGCAGGCATGGCATTAATGAGCCGAACGTTTTGATATATGAATTGTAGGAATTGGACAAAAATGAGCCACAYATCAGAGGCATTAGGGGTGATGTGTCAGCTGGAATGGGGTATCGAACCGGCAACTTACCTGTTCTCTGCCACAGCCGCCCCAATTACCATTTTGAGTAGTTTTGATTTTTAGTTCAAATGTGCASTACACATAAAACAAATAAATAAAAAACACCTGAAATTATATATTTTCTGGTAGATTTTGATTCAGCATTAAAAAAATAGTAGAAAAAGAGACCAATGCACTGTTGGAAATGTAGTAAGAGTGATCAGCTTTTTTGTTTTTAATTTACAAAAATCCAATTAAAACATTTGTAAAATCAAAACAGCAATGACAGCCAAATATTTAACAATATATTTATCAGCTCATACATTACCACTATCTTTCTCCCATGATCAGAGCATTATTCTAAAAGTGCAAAGATGTGAAAATTAAAAATAAATGCATGAGTAGAAAGAAGTCGGGACTAAACTCTGTGCTGTTTCTAGAAAAAAAAAGGTAAAATTTGAACCTAAAACATTCTTACAGTAATAGGTAGATGTGTGTTAACTTTTCAATTTTACATTCATTGGAAGCTTACATAAACTACAAGACAATGAAAGGCATTTTATGGGTACGAGTTGGATGACAAAAACACAAGAAGATGTACTTTAAAAAAAAAGGATCCCTTTATGAAGGTTGAGAAAACCTGGCAAGAAACGAAACATAAAGCAGATATAGTCCAAAGCATCTAAAGTGCTGAGGTTCATCAAACTGGCACAGAGCATTTCAAACAGCATACAATCAACCAAGTCGCAGTCAAACACATGGATAATTCTTTTAAGACAGTATCCTATGTCTGTTTCAGTGTTCCCTCGTTTCCTCTAAAATCKGAAGCAGCCGTCGTTCAGTTTGTGTGAAATAAACATTTACATCAAACAGACAAATCAAAAAACAGATGCTGTTATTTAATGTTTTTTTTTTTAATCTGATGGAGACGCCGGAAACTTTTCAAACACAGTGGTCCATCTGATGGAGGTCGGTAACATGGGTCAGTCTGATGGTAAAAATGTGAAGGACAGAAGTGGACGTGTCTCTGTTGGACAGCAGAGACAGGTAGGCAGGTTGTGTGCGCAGGGAAGCTGGGGGGGCTGAAACGTACGTCTGATCCAACACCGTGTGTCGTCTTCATGTCTCCCATTCAGTCTAGAACAGCTGGATCATGGACTCTCGAGACTTCCCCACTCCGATCCATTTGACTGAGAAAAAAGAAATCCTCATTGTGTGAGCCGTCTTCAACATCCTTAAAATCTTTCAAATGGTTAAACCTTCCCTGCACTTTACACCTTTTCTTCTGTTTTCACTTCTTTGTGCTTAATTTGTTTGTGTTTTCAGTTGTCTTCCTGCTCTTTTCAGTATTATTACAGTAAATGTATGTATCAATTACATTTTTTTCGTGCTTCAATCAGTTTCTCTATGCTAATTTAAACTTTTTAAGCTTCGTTCAGCTGTTTTCTACAGTATAGCTACCTCCTAGCTATCTTAGCTAATGTTAGCATTTACGCTAATTTAGCTTTAGTGATAATTTTGGCCACTTCTTCCAGCTGATTAATTCAGCAAACATGTATTCTTTCTAGTTCTTTGTTCTAGATTCTGCTTTTTCAGCTACTTTATAGCTACTTTTCTGCTATTTTGGCTATTATACAACAAATTGCAGCATTTTTAATGTTTTTTTTCCCCTGCAAAACTCTAATCATTCCTGCTGCATTTTCACAGAAAATGTTAATTCTCTCATTAATCTTTTGCTTTTTAAAGAATGTTTAGAAATTTGTTTTGGACAATGGAAGTTTCTTTCCCTATATGGGATATCTTCTGGTTATTACTTTGTAAATTACTCAAAAATACATTACATTAAAAACACTTAAGATCACAAGAGAAGTTTCTCCTCTCTATGAACCTGATAACTATAAATCTATGTATAAATGGAATAAGAACAGCAGCAACAGTATTTTAGTTTTATTAGATAAAAACAAAATCAGGTAAAAAAAAAAAAAAAGGGAAAAAGCAGATAAAAAGATGGACCTGAACA